ATTCATAACTAATGTTGCGTACAGTAAAAATACCACGAAAAAATTTGTTTTAACCAACTTCTTTTTAAAAAATTTTTCAAGTCGATCTGAGTAAGTTACGGCAGAATCACCCATATGTATATATTATATCTTCCTAAATTGTATAGTTGTTTTCACTATTCTCTAAGATTTGTTTCCCATCCTTCCCCACGCTGCCCACAATTAACGTTATTTTTCTTTTATTTTTGACCTTAATCAGACAGTTAGAAACTTTCCCACGCTGCCCCACCCCTTCCCCACGCTGACCCATCCTTTTGCTTTTGCACAATCTCTTCTCCACCCCTTCTTAACTTGTTATACATTACACTTATTAATGGCAAAACTTTCGGACACGTTATAAATTTTTTATTTTATTTTAAAATGATTTTGCGTCATTATTTATCGTTACATTCGTTACGACTAAAATTTTTTTTTATCTCACAGCTTACGTAACTACTTTTTACGTGCACTCGTTTTTTCAAAGCAAACTAATCACCTTGTGTTTGCAAAAACTTCTCGTTACCTGGATAAATACTCGGCAGTCATTTGTAGTAATAACATCTGTGAAGTTGATTTTTTTTTTTCATAAAAAAAAAATAAATAAATAAAACATTCAAAAAATTTTAATCTGTAAAGTAAAATAAAAAAACTTCATAGTACCTTACACAAAAACAACAGTATCATATAAAAATCCGATCACTCCTTCAATTCCGAATACCTACTAAATCACCTTTTTTCACATTCACAGAGTCTCTACGAGAGCATAAAAACAGAGCCCTTCAAAATACCAGAGGACGATGGCAACGACCTGATGCATACCTTCTTTAATCCTGACAAGGAGGGCTGGCTCTGGAAACAAGGTGAGAAAACCCACCGCCAAATCTACCACTCTTACCTGTACTTTATTTTTGTTTTACCATTTTTTTTTCTCGCTTCGCGCTCATTACGTTCATTTACTGCTAGTCTGCGTTCATCAATCGATAGATTTCTACAAAAGCTCACTTCGGGTTAAAAAAAAATGCGCGAGTAAAAATTAAATTGAAAAAGCTCAAGTTTGCTCAAAACGAAAAGCTATGCGTATCTGATTTATCGTCGGAAAAAATTAATTCACGATTGTACGCAACGATCGTAAGTTTCGAGTTGCCAAAAAAGTGTGTAGGCTATGACCGATAACTCGAAATTTCACGTACACGTGACTTACCAAATATTCCATACTTTTTCGTCGACAGTATGAGTACTGCTTTTTGTAACGTTGCGCTTTTGAAATACTGTGACTATGTTTCTGTTTTGTGATTTCGCTGTTGCTTTTAATTTTCGCAAGTGGTGGAATTTGTTCTGTACTGCTTAATTTGTGCGTCGACCGTCGAAAAATAGAGTATTGTTTACTGAATTCTAATGAGCTTATCACTCGTACAACACGCACTTCGATGTAGCTTAATAAGTTATTTTTCTTTCTCTCACTTTCACCCTCGCCATCATGTTGTATTATATTATCACTAACATGTACAGAATTTTTAGAGTAACGATTACTTGCTTAGAGTAATATATTCCCATATCTCATCACAGCATCAAAATATCTTATCCACGTAATATTAACATTGTAATTCACCAGTAAAAATGAGTCCGACAAAAATCGTACAACGAATGATTATAGTATGTATTCAAAGCCCACGGTAATGATAATGAATTCAAAACAAATGATCGAGTTTATTTTATGTCGAAGAGGCGAAACTGTCCTTAACACTGAGAGAAATGAAAAACGTGAGACTGCCATTCTAAGAATACGAAGAAATAAAAACTATCGTAAATTTTAAACTACGGTAATATTGACCTGTTGACCGTTATATTAACATAAGCATTTTTGTATTTAGTAGAAATAATTATTCTGGTAAGGAAAAAATTTAAAAAAAGTAAGCTGAAAGAAAAATTGACGCAAAAGGAGTAAAAATTGTGGAAAATTATGGAAAAACTACCGTAATAATTGAGTAGTTATATCAATTGTTTGACGGTATAAAAACTCCTCGAGTTGTTTTCTCCGTGCTTTACAGTAATAAAAAAAAAAAAAAAAAAAAAAAAAAAAAAAAAAAAAAAAAAAAACAGAGCTCGACTTAACAAAAGTCACTGTAACAATGAGTTTGCCTATCGGACAATACAACATATTGCATGTATGAAAATAATTTTCAATGGGATTGTCATACCTCATTTCTCTTAGCGTGTACGATTGCGCAACCGTACCGTTTATTGTATATTTGTACCATTTGCCTCCGAGAGCGTAAAGCGTGCATATAAGCTTTACGGCGCGCCTTAAATAAAATGTACGCGCGTTCAGCCGCAAATCTAGGACACTGAGCCTCTACTGCAGTAAAGTGTATATTTATAACGAAGCCGAGAAAATAGGTAGTCACCCTTACACGCTCGCAACAAGTGTCGCGTGTAATTTTCGCCCAGTCCCATAATTTTGGAATTCCCCAGTGCTCATCGATCATTATTGTCGAAACTGAAAATAAGACGTTTACCCGCAAAATTTCGAATTATACTCGTTAAGACGGGAAGTGCGAAAATAGAAAAAAAATAAAATAAATAAGTCAGAGAGAACACGTACGCAGTGTCTGGGAATTTTCGCGCTCAAAGTACGCAGATATATATATGTGTGCGTGGAGGGCGGGCGCGCTGGTTACGTTCAGGAGTTCTCCGGGCGAGGAAATTCGGGTCAGACTCTCCGACTATTTTCTCGGCTTATCTTACGTTTATATACATACACACGTTTACACACTTGCGTGTGTATATGTGCAAATGTATGTAGGTAGTACCTATACCTGACGATGGGCTCTAGCGCGCGCATGTATTGAAATAAAACGAACCTCATTAGCATTCGGCACGACTTTTACCTCATGCATCTCATCCCTGTCTTTTTTTTAATTTATTTATTTTTTATTTTTTTTTGTCATTCGCCATATCATATTTTTTTTTATTTGTATTTTATTAGATACTATTACGAATATATGGTACATATAATAAGTACATATTATGGTATGAATACCTCATACGAGGTGACTACACCATAATATTATATAAT